CCAAAACTTTGATGCAGCATTTTGCCTGTTTTGATAGCAAAAAATGTGGTGTTGAACGCATAACTCTATCCAGGTGCTTTGCTCGTTTTTAGTTATCGTTAAGATCACAGAGCCGTTTCATCATAATGTTAGGACACCCCACGTAATACTTGAACATGAGTAGCTGAGATGAAGCTTACTGATACAGTGGATCAGTAGGCTGGGTTCTAATACGCCTTTCCAATCATAACAGGTGCAATGTAGAAAATTTCCGATACCATTACGTATGCAAGCTTAATCTTTGAGATAACGTTACAGTAAATTAATTTGTTACAACATCATTAGCAAAAATGGCCGTGTCTATCCATTTATTACACACTTTTTGGTTTGCCACAGAACCATAAGTGTGTGGAACTCTGTATGGATAATATTCATTACATTAGTGTACAGTCTAGCGAAATAAACGTACTAAACATTTCTCTTAACTAGCCATCCCAGATTTATACCGCACAAAGCTAGAATGGCATGGCTTCCGTAAAGATCAAATCCACTGCACAAGTTAAGTGACAACCAGACTAACAGTTTTAGCTATCACTTTAAAGACAAACTTTTCAGAAATCATATATACATATAAGATAGTGTAAGCTATTCAGCAACTTGTGAGTAAAGAGGTTTATGGCTGATGTGATCAAAGGATACCTCTATCAACTTCAATAATGTAACGTAATTCAAGGGAGACGACTGGTCTTGAAACAGATGAGCAATGAATTAAAGTTTTCAGTCGGTAATATATATAAAGATATTAATATTTGTACTGGATTCGCCCAGAGGCTCTTTTCACTATTTCTTCCGGTTGGAAAATAACAAAAGATTTAAACTAAGGAAACTTTGCCCCTTGTCCAAACCCACTGTCTCTTTCAAATTTACCTTTAAATAAAACGGTAGCTGTCAACAACAGCTTAGCGAGTTGTGTTGAGTTTTCCTACGGTTACGATAGATCAATAGCCGTTTCAGAAACTTTTGTTACATTTAATACAGTATCATCAAACACTAGATATGAAAAACAAATATATATATATATATATATATATATATATATATATATATATATATATATATATATGTAAGTGTGATTTACGGTTGTTAATGTGTGTTGTGCCTTTCTAAGTAGGTGTACTGTTGTATGTATACATATCTGCGTACATGAATACGTGTGATCGGTGCGAATGATGCATGTTTTCGAGAAAGGAGAAAGGTGAAATAAAAATCAGTCACGATTTTCTGGGTTTGATAGATCAAAATTCGGCGAGGATGATAATATCATTCTACAGCTGCCTGGGTGGAAGGTTGAAGAAAATCATATTTCTTCTCGAGGAAAAACTACACCAAAATTAGAGGAAAATAGATATTCCTGTCTTTTTTCTTGATTTTTTTGTTTGTTTGTTTTTTTTTATTTATTTATTTTTTATTTTGTTTTATTTTTATTTTTTAGTATATTCTTTATTTTTATTTTTATTTATTTTATTTTTTTATTTTTTCAGTCTTTTTTCTTTGTTTTTTTTTTCTTTTAAACGAAGCAAAAACAAAGATTTCCCAACAACAAAATTCCTATCGAATATATACGCATACGCATTCGACTATTTCGTTATGTCTTGAAAAATGTATTAATTTTCTTAAACAACGAGAGAAAAATTAAACCCAAAATAAATTTGGACTTGGACCAGTTTCGCTTCTCTCTTATCAAAAATTTGATGGAAGATAACATTAAAAAGAACACAAAATACAAACATTAGTAATATACTAATGAGAATATGTTTAGATGCAGATCATATTAAGACCAATCAGCCATTCCTTCTATTTACATAGGAAAGGCTGCCTGGACAATAAAAATTGGTTCCAACAATTTAAACTGAAATTGGAGCTGTGATCTGAGAATATATTCTCACTAACTGACGATTAATTATTAAGTGCACTGCGGTTGCAGACTCAGACTTGTGCAAATTATCAGCTGAAATCTAATAAGTACCGGAACATACTAGTAAAATCCTCCTCTTCAGGAGCTGAGTTGTCCTGCCTTATATATTTCAAGTCGCACTTGCATTTAATAAATATCTGAACTAATCTTGAACATAAGCAGTCTATCCTTACTAAGAGATTTCAACATTTACCGAGATGAGAACATCTCTTGTGGATTAGAAGAAATATAACTTTACGGAATACGAGACGACATTTACTTAGTAAAAATCACACCATTTACCTTATTCGGACTATTGTCCTCATCTTTGTCGCCATATTTATCACAACGTTTTGGCCGTTGTATGCTTCCGCCTTCTTCAGGTGGTTGAAATGTCGAACTGAAGCCTTTATTTCGCTCACTGGGGCAGACTTCTAGTTCCACGTGCCATGTTTGATGGATGTCAGTTATCAGTTATCTCCTGTTAATTTTCCCTCTGAAAGTTCTCCACTGCCTTAACCGGGTATTGAACTCTGTTTGATGGATGTCAGTTATCAGTTATCTCCTGTTAATTTCTCCACTGCCTTAACCGACAGACTGAGCTATTTCTGTGTTTGGTCGATGTGCGTATATCATAAGATAGTATTATTTATTTCTCTTTCAAACTGATCAGTGAATGCTGGGAAATTTCCTTACAGATACAGATAAGGAAATGGATAAAGTCCGACAATTATTTTATAACATTTTTATGTTTAGTCATTCGTTAAATAGATACAAATATTTAAGTAAATGCTCTGTTTTTTTTTTTTTATATATAATAAACAGTATTAATAACATTTACCGGCCTGAATGTCCGAGAAACTTTCATAGAAAATATTCGTCCTACGACAGGAATCGAACCTGTATCCTATACGGAACCGTCATATAGCCTGACGTCCCTTAACCGATCGAGCCATGGAGGATCGTTCGATTAGCAAGGTCGATTTTACTGTCAGGGGACTCACTGCAATTGCTTTAAATTTGTTAAAAAAGCACTTTTTGTGTGTGTGTGTGTGTGTGTGTGTGTGTGTGTGTGTGTGTGTGTGTGTGTGTGTGTGTGTGTGTGTGTGTGTGTGTGTGTGAGCAACAACGAAGTTTTAGATAAAAGGAAAACAAAAAGACACATACATAACACCAGAAAAAGACATAATGAGGAAAGGCGGTTTGGAAAATTTGATACTCACAGGACAGGCAGAAGGCAAGAGGGACAGAGGAAAACAATGCATAACCTACCTAGCGAGCTTGAGTCAATGAATGACGGAACAGGTTCGAGGAGAGATAACAAAAAGACAAAATTTATTAAGAACTACAAAAAATTTTGATAACCATGATCGCCAACGTCCAGAAAGGACACGGTACATGAAAAGAACGCATTTCTTTAAATATATAAAAAGACCAGTGTTTGAAGTAGATTTTTAGATTTATTTTTATCTGATATTTTCACTGTATATTGTTCGATGTAAATTACAAGAGAGCTCTGAATTTTACTTATTTTTTTATTTATTTATATGCGTCGTGTCTCTTTCGGACATGGGTGATCACGGTTCTTATAGTGGAACACACCTATTCTATAAATAGACTCTCCCACCTATAATAAGTAGGAGTAGTAGTAGCAGTGGCTCAGAGAGTTGGTCAGTCAGACGACTGGCTGATCGGTTGAACTCTCTGCCTTCAGGCGAGGAGGAACCCGAAAGAGGCTACGCCAAAGGGCGGATTCTCTTTCGGGGAGGTAAACCGACCCTGAACCCATTTATACAGGTTAAATGGGCATATTTTTGGCCGAGCACACGGGCTCGGAGATCCCACGTTAAACCGGCCTTATACCACATGATGCCCTCGTGGGGGGGGGGGGTGACTAAATATCGAGTTGGTCAGTCAGTCTCTGTCGGACGACCGTTAGTCGGATATTAAAGTATCAGCCACCCCAACTAGATTACTACGTCATTAACCTATTATATAATGTTCCTAATGTTTTGTACGTCGAACCTATTTTAGGACCGACTTAGTACAAAATACAAGCCTCCACTGTGAAACCACTACATAACAGTTCTCCACAATATGTTATCCTTGTCAATGTTTGTCTTTTCACTTATAATTCCCAATTCCTCTTCTGTCATCCATTTACACAAGCATGTTCGGTAAGTAGCTTCCTTCTGTTTTAGCCTTCAATGTTCTGGGAATATCAACTTCTCCAAGCACATTTTTTCTTATTATATATCCTAAAAATTTCAATTGTCTCTTTCTGATTCTAAATATAAGCACCATTTTTGTTTCTATTATCCTTAAAAACCCTTCTTGTTGCTCATATGTTCAGCCTATGGTATTCTCAGCATCCTTTTCTAGAACCACTTTTCTCTTGCATAAAATCTCTTGTTCATCCTTGTGGACATTGTCTAGCATCGATTGCTATATAGGAGAGTTATTACATAATAATTCAGCATTCTTTTCTTCGTTTCTAACGAAATATTCATGTTTCTCAATGTTAGCTTTTAAAATGACGTTACATAATTCAGCACTCTTTATATCTAGCGAAATTTTTCTGGTTTCTTAATACTTTGCTAAGCTTTTGGAATGATATTACATAACAGTTCAGGATTCATTTGTTAGTTTCTAACGACATTTTCTCGTTTCTTAATAGTTTGCTTAGAACTCGGAAAGCATCTTTTGCTATTCCAATGCAAATTGAACTTTTAGCCTAACAACAAATTAGTATGCAGTACTGAAAGAGTTCTTCACTAGGTGTCGCAAAACCTTTGTGTCCCTGTAACTGATGAAGCTAAGTTGAATACATGCTTATAAATCTCACTGTGATTTTTACTTTACTTGAAGCATCAACAAGACGTCTTTGTCCATTTAATTAGTTTAAATTTTTAATTCTTAATGTCAAGCAAAAGATTCATTGTTCGTTTTACCTAGCAGATATTTAATGATTCTTCTTGTTGTTGTTATTCAAGGTGCCGCCAAAAATTGTTCGAAGTTTTGGAAAGATTCGTTAGATGAGTACTTCAATCAGTGACCAGCGCTTACAATGATCATATCAGCCATCAGCCTGCCATTCGTCAATAAATCAATCTTTCTTCGTTTTTTCCTTAGCGTAAACTTTTACATACTTTTTTTCCTATTACATGTTAGATATTTCGACCTTTATTGATGAAATCTTCATTAAAGTTTATTTAAACAACTTAAATATATATATATATATATATATATATATATATATATATATATATATATATATATATATATATATATATATATATAACGCACCGCTCTTCATTAATGAATTGAGTATTTTGACTCCTGGCGTTTGTTTACATTCGTATACACTACGTTAGAATTCTCCTTCCTCCCTGCCATAGCTCAAGGGTAGGATCTCCGACTGACGTCATATTGGTAGGGTTTCGATCCGACTTGAAGCAAACGGATGTCTAGCCACACTGATAAACTGTGATACGGCGAAACCGGCCTGTATGTGGATGACCGTATTGAATTATATATATATATATATATATATTAATTAGTGAATATACAAAATATCCAACCTCTCTTAAGGTGAAAATACAATTTAATTTCAGAGAGGATGATTTACCTGTCAAGTATTTGGAGAAAGTGACATATATAAAGATTTAAGACAATTCTACTGTTGTTCTTCTAATTTTCAAATTATTTTAAGGGTTGAAGTACAAACACGCTGAGACATACACACACACACACACACACATATATATATATATATATATATATATGATAAAATATAGTTTTAAGGGATGCTATATTTATCCTCTTCTTCTCCCCTAGCTATGGGTAAATAGCAGGATAGACCGGGTTCTATAGCCTTGGATGGCAACTGATCTACCGAAGAAAGAAATGACAACCTACTGCTGCTAACATCTGCCTCGTCAGTCTTATATCATGTATATCCACATAACTGACTGACTGATCAGATATAGAGAGTATCTAAATATAAAAATGGACATTGAAGTCAACACCTAGAGGCAACAGTCTTTTTCATGCAAAATAGAACTGGTCTAGAATAAAGATTACTCTGAATTCAAAAAACTGAGGAGGGTCGTTTGGGGACGTTGTGGCAAGCTATGCACCAGTTCTCTGGGTTCGGCTCTTAAAAAAAGGGTGATCGGTCCCTGCACAAAACTTTACCACTATGATCAAATCGTATATGCGTGTCGTCTGGCGAAAAACGAAGGTAGAGCCCTCCCATAATTGATATTAAATGTTCCAAAATGTGTATAAGCACTATTCTGACAGTTTAATACAACAGAAAACGTTTAAAAATAATAATACCTGTGCGCTCGCTCCTAAAGTTTCATCCAGAGGTGATCATCACGCGGGAGAGCAAGTATTAGATAAATTAATAAAGGGATTATGACAGCAAGCGTGACCAGACATATCTAACACCAGACTATGTAAACAGGTTATTTGTATATAAATATGATATAAACATATATATATATATATATATATATATATATATATATATATATATATATATATATATATATATATGCTGAAAAATAAAACAGGCCCTAAGGGCAAACCTAACTCCTAAGTAATGCAAACTGCTCAAAGCCTGGAATGACAAGACAGAGCAAAAAACGCTTAACATTAAGTACTATGATAGTATGATTCTAGTTGTAACCAGAGTTTCACGATCACGGGGTCATCAGACGACTTTGTTGTATCAGAAAGAGATTTATTTTTGTTCATAAATACTCGTTGCAAAATAAATTCCTTACATTTGCCTTGATGAATTTCATCAGAGGATGAAACGCGTTGGTTAATATAGATTTTCCTTTTGTCTTTATATATATATATATATATATATATATATATATATATATATATATATATATATATAAAAGAAATATAGTCTTAATATGTGCTATATTTATGGGATAAAGTGCTCAATATAAGGGCTAGAGCGTGCGTAAATATAAAAGTAAACATAGAAGTCAACACTTAGAGGCGACAGTCTGTTTCATGCTAGATACAATTGTCAGGCAACGAGTGCTGTAATTTTGCGAGAAAAATAACAGCACACGTGGCCTGACGATTGCATGTAAGATGAAACAGACTGTCGCCTCTAAGTGTTGACTTCTATGTTCACTTTCATATATATATATATATATATATGATGGCTGTCCACTCGATTACGTCAAAAGACAATTTGTGACATGTAAGAAAGTACCTGTAATCCAAAGAGATTCTTATGATAGACGCATCTATGATATAAATGTTTCAGCTATCATAGTATAGTGATAAGAAAGCCCAAGATGATTGCTTCAGTAGCCCGCTTTTTTTCTTTTTTTATTCAAAGTTATTCTCTTAGATCACTTGTCACTGAAGGCTGAATCACCCAATCTGTCCCACTATTTAACCCATATTTGTGGGAGAAGCACCTTTCCCAATCATATCTGCGCGAAAGTGATTGTAATGAATTCGCGTTGGAATTCAACCTTGGATTTCGCGTTTTGAGTCGTTATCCATTACACCACCCGAGTATTCCTACATATATAGGTGTGTGTATGTGTGTGTGCGTGTTTGTGTGTGTACATGTTTGCGCATGTGCGTGTGCGTGATTGTATGTGTATATTTTTATGTGTGTGTGTGTGTGTGTGTGTGCGTGTGTGTTGCTTGGAAAGAAGATGAGCAAATTAACTTCTCTTTCCCTTGAGATATCATAACCCAATCACCATTCAATAGATATAGATAACTTATTAAAAATTGCCTGGCAAAAGGTCACAATGGCGATGGAATTTATGCGGATCGAACGAGTGCACCATCTGCAGATAACTTGAACTGCAACTCACGTGAAAAAGGGTACTATTTAAAATCATTTTTTTTTTTGACTAACAGAAAAGTTAAAACTTGATTTACCGTACTGCAAGATCCCCATGTGGTCCAATGGGTAGAGGCACCGAATGAGAACTCGAAGAGCTGAGTTCGAATTCCAATCAAGTTAGTTTTATTCACCCACGAGCAAATACCGTTGGGAAAAGTATGACTATATACCCACCAATCGCTGCTAGTGGTTAAACAAAAGGGTAGACTGAGCTTTTAAGCTTTGGTTGGTAAAGAGTCAGGGGGAAAGACAAAACTAAATTTAAAACCATTTGGACATCGGGATTAACTATTCCATACCGTAAAACCTGACTTGCTATGGTTCTCATAGCAACAATGTCTCTCGTGATGAGAGCTGTGACCCTATACTCTTGAGGGAGTATAAGAGACTAGAGTAATGAGTAATAGGATTAACAATTAATTACAACGAATCACTTCAAACATAACCCTTTACTGCATCTCTTGAATTGATTCTCTGTCTGTCAGTATTGCGAGAAATGATTGTTACTTATTGAAAATCCATTTCTGCTGCCCTTTAATTATAACCATACAGACCTCTTGCCAAACTTTAGTAAAATAATGTGTTTTATTATGGTATTAAAATGATACATTTTAAAATGGGATATATTTACTTACTTCCAAAGATTCGCTAAAAATGAGGATAGATGATGAAAAAAAAAATGCCCCAAACTTAATAAAAACAAAGTCAACATCTTTATATGATTTGAAAGACCAACAGATTTTTATTATTAAATTGTATTTTTAATCCTTTTTCGAATTTTCAAAATTTTTCTATTTTTTTTTTCTTCGTCAGCGGCTGACAAAAATCTAGTATGCGAAGTTTGAGCGTCCTATTTGGGGTAAAAAAAACACATTGATTCGGAAATTTTTGCAAAAAATAAAACAACTTCACCGTTTCATACCAGCTTTCCACATAGCGAGCGAAAACAATATATGCCATATGGTCATTCAGGCGTAAAATTGCCAGTCATCATTCTGTGGGCGTGGAAGAATTAGAAAACAGAAACCTTACTAAGGAACAATTAGAAAAGAATAGTAATTAGAAAGAGGGTATAAAGCGATTGATATTTCCTTTTAAATTTTTGAAGATCAAAGTTGACTGGTAAGTATGGACCGGAAGTGAGTACCGCAAGCCAGAAGTGCTCGAAAAGAAACTGTCAGCATAGAACTTACGGTTACAACTAACCAATTGATGAAATCTCATCGACAGGGAGGCAACATTACAGCGGTGAAAAGTGATTGAAGCCGAGTCACCAGATCAGGACCAATAATATTGCTGATTCTTCTTTAGATTTTATCAAGAATCTCTAGATATATAAAAGAAGCACCAGACCATATGTGGCTGCAATATTCTAATCATGGACGAATGGTAGACTTATTAATTAAGACAGATTCTGGAGAGAAAAATTTGTCGAGAACGGCACACTGAACCAACTTTCTTAGCTTACCTAGCAATGGATTTAATATAGTCTTTCCAATTCAGCCGAGAATGTTAGCACAAGACGGCGCAACAAGTCACCTTTTGGTTAGCATCAGCCATTGCGATTAATGACAGAGCGAGAGTTTAGTTATGGGAGCGTTAGAATTAACAAGCCATCTTTTGCCCCAGTCAACAACAGACTGAAGTTTATTTTTTGACATCAGCCGTCGCTTTGACCTTATCGGACTGATCAGACTTACTATCGAGACAAGAGCAAATGGTTGTGTCATCGGCATAGATACCAAGATACCACTGAGAAGGTCGTTAATAAAAATTAAAAATAGAATAAGGATAGAACTATGGGAGGACACCTGTATTAGTGTAATATGATCTAGAAGAGTGAGCGTTCAGAATAAAATTTGTCCGGAGACATTGTAACTTTTCAACTTGTAAAGAAGACCTGCATGCCAAACCCTGTCAACGGCTTTCGAGATGTTCAAAGCAACAGCCCGAGCTTCAACATTCTTATCTAAAACTTGACATTCTTTTTCCTGCTTCTCTTCAATACATCAGCAGTTGACCTAGAGAACTGAAAGTCATATTGCTTGTCTGAATGAAGGCCCTGTGAGATGTTTAACCAATTTAGCATTGATTAGAGCCTCTAGTAGTTTCTCCATGAAAGGTAAAAGGTTAATAAGGCGATAGCTGGAAGGGTCGCACGGTTCACCTGAGTTCTTACAAATTGGAACAACAGATGATGATTTCTAACATGTAGGAAAGCAGGGGGTAGCTTT